GGCTGCAATATAACAAAGAGTGAAAAATTTAAGGGGGTCTGAATACTTTCCGTACCCACTGTATATACACACACACACATGTAGGTAATTTCGTTGATTAAACATTGAGAGATAAAGATACCTTTTCCCATGCTTTAATATATACAATACATTTTATTTTATTAATTTATTAAATTGTAAGTGTTATGAATTAATTAGATTATCACCATTTTGATGATAAATTTGTATTAGATCATAAAACAGAATCCAAAAATATAAAAAAAAACAATTTGTGAAAAATAAAATGGATTTCATTATTGTTAAAATTGCAATCATATATTAAATTTCATATATTTAATTAAATATTGTTATTAATTCAATTGGTTAGACGTGCTTTTTATTATTAAATTTAAAAATATATATATTTTTTTTAAATAATCTATATCTACTATATTTCATGAGGGATCGCTGAACCATAAAATATAAATATATATATAATGGTGTCACTTAAATTTGATCTGTTCCTCATTATAAAGCAGCATACTATGAATTGTTAAAGTTTTATGAATTCAATTTAATAGACATGATTTGTATTATTAAAATAAAACACTATTATATTTGATTAAACTAATAAAAGAGAAAAGTGTTTCATGAGCAATAGCTGAACCATAACAAAAAAGTGAATAAATAAAATCGTCACTTTTTTATTTTTATTTGATCTGTTCTTTGTACAAGGCATCATACAGCCATGCATACTGGTTAATATTGTGTGAAAACGAATTTAATAAACACGTGGGTGCATGCGTTTGGGATGATACACACGATCTAACACACATTTAACCAGAGTTTCTTTCTGCATAACGTCTGACGTACTCTGATGTTGTCGAGGACTCTTCTGAACTCCAGCGGTTCGTCTTTTCCCTCCATGGCCGCGGGGTCGAGTCCGTCTCCGCCGTAGATGAACTGTATGATGTCACCGGTGGAGCTGCGCACCGTCAGATCGTACTGAGAGCACAAGTCCTCCAGAGACTTCACCAGACGCCTCTGAACCACACAAACACTGCTCGTTAGCTTGCCCAGAATTCATTACTAACGGCAGATCTCAATAGAAGAGACTTACAGAATAACAAAAACTTAGTTTTGCCACTCTATAAAGCTACACTGTAAAAATAAAATAATAATTGGTGACATTTACGGTAAAATACTGGCAGCTGTGGTTGCCAGAACTTACCGTTAAAAATACGGTAGCAACATTTTAGGTTTTACAGACTTAAATTCACAAAAAAAAAACGTATTTCATTAACTGATGTAATGTTAATAAACCAGCATATTGAAGTACTGAAATCTGTTTTGAACTGTTGTAATGCACTGATATCCACCAAAAACAGGCGGTGATGAGAAAGTCCCACAATGAACCAAAGCTCATCACAAACAGCTCTTCCACAAGCTGAGAGGGGAACTACTACATGAGGGATCGCTGAACCATAAAATATATATATATATATAATTGTGTCACTTAAATTTGATCTGTTCCTCATTATAAAGCAGCATACTATGAATTGTTAAAGTTTTATGAATTCAATTTAATAGACATGATTTGTATTATTAAAATAAAACACTATTATATTTGATTAAACTAATAAAAGAGAAAAGTGTTTCATGAGCAATAGCTGAACCATAACAAAAAAGTGAATAAATAAAATCGTCACTTTTTTATTTTTATTTGATCTGTTCTTTGTACAAGGCATCATACAGCCATGCATACTGGTTAATATTGTGTGAAAACGAATTTAATAAACACGTGGGTGCATGCGTTTGGGATGATACACACGATCTAACACACATTTAACCAGAGTTTCTTTCTGCATAACGTCTGACGTACTCTGATGTTGTCGAGGACTCTTCTGAACTCCAGCGGTTCGTCTTTTCCCTCCATGGCCGCGGGGTCGAGTCCGTCTCCGCCGTAGATGAACTGTATGATGTCACCGGTGGAGCTGCGCACCGTCAGCTCGTACTGCGAGCCCAAGTCCTCCAGAGAGACTTCACCAGACGCCTCTGAACCACACAAACACTGCTCGTTAGCTTGCCCAGAATTCATTACTAACGGCAGATCTCAATAGAAGAGACTTACAGAATAACAAAAACTTAGTTTTGCCACTCTATAAAGCTACACTGTAAAAACATTAAAATAATTGGTGACATTTACGGTAAAATAACGGCAGCTGTGGTTGCCAGAACTTACCGTTAAACATACGGTAGCAACATTTTAGGTTTTACAGACTTAACTTAAATTCACAATAAAAAAAACGTATTTCATTAACTGATGTAATGTTAATAAACCAGCATATTGAAGTACTAAAATCTGTTTTGAACTGTTGTAATGCACTGATAACCACCAAAAACAGGCGGTGATGAGAAAGTCACACAATGAACCAAAGCTCATCACAAACAGCTCTTCCACAAGCTGAGAGGGGAACTACTA